GGGCTCTATTGTAATGGAGCACGTGCCGGCGACCGATATCAATTAGTGTGTAATATGTCATCCGCTGCTCGAGTAGATCAAAGATTCATATTATTTATACAGCTCGACATACGGAAAGATTTGCGTGTACGTTTATTGAGACCCGTTTGTCCCTTACTTTTTGGACTTGAACCTTTCATTGATTGATTCAGTCAATTGCGCCATTTTTGGCACCTCCTATACAATTGCTTGTGGACATTTGCAAACGTTGCCGAATTTCACATGCTTTTTCACGTGTTCTCATAGCAACATTAATGGTTCGTTATGCCATGTCTAGAGCTCCAGGTATTTCAGCCTTGGAAGCTATTTTTACTCCAAATTGTTGCGTCCTATAATATATGGATAATTAATGTTGCTAAAAATGGATAACTACCAGAATTGAGCTAATCAAAATACATATTTATTTATTTATTAATACCAGTCAGTCGCTGTCCGCCCTAGAGAGTTTTCCCTGTACATATTTAAGCAAATCTCTAATAAGTTTTGTATGTACATTTAAAACGAATTTATTTAGTTATTAATGTTTGCGACAAATCTGACAGTTAGTATTTATATAACATTTATAAATGAAAACTTTACCTTAAATAACGAGCATAAAGATCAAAATTATCTTAGTAATTATACCCTGAACCCATTGAAAATGGATAAGGAGGGTATAATGTATTTGTGCAAATGTATGTAAAAGGCAGAAGGAAGCATCTCCGACCCCATAAAGTATATATATTCTTGATCAGCATCAATAGCCAAGTCGATCTAGCCATGTCCATCCGTCCGTCAGTCTGTCCGTCAGTCAAGGATTTCTGAACCTATAAGAGCTAGAGACTTGAAATTTTAGCTGTAGCTCCTCCTAGTCCCCGCGCAGATCGAGTTTGTTTCCGATATTCAATAACTTGCAAGTAATCAATATCGAAATCCTGTATTTTGAGCAATTTTGGTAAATAAGAAGAGGGTTCCGGGTATCCCCTCGTCGGGAGCTCCCGACTACAACCTCTTAATCATTTTTGAATTCAACACGCAATGTTACCAAATTGACAATTTTCGAATGTTGTCAACTTTGAAGTGAAGACTTTTGTTTTCCCACTCTAGTTTCTATTTAACAGACAGATGTCCCCTCCTCGCCCCACATTAAATGTCCAATACGGTGCATGCCTTACAAATTGTAGCTTATTGAAATTGTTTGCCAGATAATTGCCGGTATAGTACATCGCACATTTGTGCATTGTGCTTGGCCCGCATGACACACGCATTAATAACAGCACGAGCCGCCCATTTGATTGATAATTAAATGCTTCAGGGGCTTGGCTGCATCACGTAATAACCGAAAACAGAAAAGTTGTTACTGTAAACACGTCCAAAGCAGAACCTGTTGCGCTTGGCCTTAAGTCTAATATGGGCGCCCAAATGATAATCGTACGGCTTTGGTCTGTACAACAACAAAGAACAATTTAAGGAGCTTAAGCTTGGCTTTAATTTGGAATACTTCTTTGGTCCTCGTACTTTTAAGAGGTTGGATCTTTTGACTAAGTGGTTCGTTTCATGACGAAGGCCTTCACCATAAGTTTCAGTCAAACCTCTTAATGCAAACTTGTGTAATACCCCTGTAGATGAAAGTATATATGCTCTTGATCTGTATCAAGATCCGAGTCGATATAGCCATTTCCGTCGGTCTCTCTCTCACAAAGTCTCTCAAGACACTTTGCATAGGTCCGTCTTATTGTTGGAGGCAGTACATACATATGTCGGAATTAGACTGATCAGGATTCAAAGGGCGATCAATAAGTTTTTCTATAAAAAACAATTGTGTTTTTGTTAGGTATCTCAACACAAATTTTATATACAACATATGAACAAAATCTTATTGCAAGAAATAATTTCGTATTACATTTTTGTTCTGTTGTATATTGATCAAACTTTTTTCACTATACTAGAATATATGCTATATACATATATATATTTCCCGATATTTTTATCAATTCAATTTGTTTTATTGTGCGCTGGCATCGATGAGGCAAATTAAATTTTAGGAACGATCTTTGTAAATGGGGAAATAATTTAATAAATAATTTAATTCTCTATTTTCTACAAGCATTGCTGCTGTAATTATATTTGCAATTTACTCACAATTCAAACAATGCACGTTCCAGCTGACGCCCAGTTTTGCCCGTTGTATGTCGTGCCAGTTGATAGAGAGAATATTTTCTAAATATAGCCGCATTATTAACCCATTAGTGTCACTTGGAATGCAAAAGATCAAACGATCGCGCGAATCTCACGAGTGCAATTTTTTTGTTGTGGCTAGCGCCTGCCACAAAGATAAGAGATCGACATAGAGTTCATTCATCCAAGTTTCGTCTGTTTCTGGTGCCCGCCGCTTGCCGTAAGGCAGCTTCGACGGCGCTATATCTCTCTGCTTCCGCATTTGCAGTGGACATCGTTAGTGCGCCCCTTGCCCCCGCCCACCCCTTGCCACGCAGCTGCAGCTGCCAAGCCGAACGAAAGTGAGAGTCGTCGCCGTCGCCGTTGTCAACATTGTTGTTGTTGTTGTTGTTGTTGTTGTTGTTGTCCATTTAATCATTGCAAATTTTATGCAATGTGACTTTTGAGTGTTGAGCACGCCATATGTGTGTTGATCTTTTTATAACGCCATTGTGTAGGAGTGTGTGCCATATATCAAAAACAGAACGGTTCATGTCAGGCGTTTGTCTGTTTTTCATACATCTTCTGTGCACACAAGTATACAATTCACTTAATGAAAGTGCATTGACTCTTTCGACTTGCCCGTCTGTTATCTGAAACGGAGTATTTGTTTTTTTATTTTTTCAGAAGATTCCCTTAACCATCTGCATTAATTGCCCTTGCAATTACGATTACAGTGCACCCGCCCATAAATGCGATAGCACGCGATACGTACATTTTAAAGCACGTAATCAGCGTCTTCTGATATGGACTTGGCAATATACATTACATGTACACAATTGTTGTGTAATGTTTGTTTTTATTTCGTTGCATTGTCACCCGATAAAACCGGTACTAGCGGCGCAGCTGGTCAAGGCTGACAAACAAGTTTGTGTTCGCATAATTTGTGCTTTATCTATCGTTCGTTGGCTGCTGTTAGTGAAAGTGAGGGGCTTGAGCATAACAACAATTTGCGATTTATAAAAATTACATGAGCCCGTTGCAAGCATATGATTATATCGACCAAAAAAAAAAGCATTTAAAATTTAACTGAAACAAATTAAAAAGTGCGCCATCAACTGTCAAAAATGCGCTTGGTCACACTTAACAGCGTTACTCCTCACTTAACAGCTTTACTCCACACGATACAGACTAGCTTACAACTGGTCATACTATTCTTTAAATTTTTGAATAAGTTATCGCCTATTTATTTTATCGATAACTGCATCAATAGTAGCACGTTTTGTTTTAATTGGAATATTGCAAAAATGAGCATAGCCACAAGCAAGTTGTTGCTTAAGAACATGCCCTGCAGCATGGTAGAATTCGCACAGTTAATTCAAGAAGCAAATCTGATTATACCGCGCTCACTAAATGCTTTTGGACGCCGACGCGCGCTGCTTGATTATGCCGACGCCGAAGAGGCGCAATCCGCCCTAGAACAGCTGTTGGAATTAAACGAAATACTGGACAAGCCGTTACGCGTCAGCTCGTTTGGACCACGTTCCAATGATACCACCAAACCGAAGCTCGCCAACAAATCCACTCAAGCGACAGCTCCGGCAGCTCAGACGACGGGTCCCTCGTCCCAACCAGAGATCGAAAAGTATGTGCAAAAGTTGTATGCCCGCAATAATCAATGTGACTTTATGCAGCCACCACCGCCATATCTGCGCTATGCGTATCCGCCCATCAATGCTGACATTCTGGCCGCCATAGGAGATGCACTAAAGTATGAAAAACGCTTCTACGTGCAGGTGCTTCATCTCATGAACCGCATGAATTTAATGCCACCATTTGGCCAGCGACCTGCAGGTCTCCACCTACCAGCACAGCAGTCACAGAGTGTTGCGACGCAAACTGAAGTGCTCCAGAGCGAGTCTGAAAGCGAGCTGGAGAGCGATGAGGAGCACAAGCAGCAGCGAAAACAACTAAAACTAAAGCGCCCAGCAGATAGCGTAGTTTTGGAGCAGTATCGCAAGCGTGCACGCCAAATGCTGCAGGTGGCTGCCAGTCAGCCAGGCAAAGCTACAGCAGTCCAAGAAAATATGGATGTGCCCGCAATTGCTGCGCGCAAAATTGAACTGAAGCTGCCAACAACCTTGCCTGTTGTTTGCCAGCTGCCGGAAGAACGTCTGTCATCTGAGCAACTGCAAGAGCTGCCTGTCTACAAGAACTACAACGTAGGCGAGCCCAACAACAAGTTGTACATTAAAAACCTTGACAAGAGCATAACGGAGACACAGCTGCGAACGCTCTACGCTCAATACGCACCAGCTGAGAGTCTGGAGATTAAAGTAATGCAACAGGGCCGCATGAAGGGGCAGGCCTTTGTCACATTCCTGGATCCCAATAATCAGGCGGCTGCAGCGGCGGTGGTGGTGGCCAAAGCATTGGCCGAAACGAACGGTCTGCTCTGGCATCAGAAGCCCATGATCGTTTGCTATGGGAAGCAGCAGCAGCAGCACCAGCTGTAGCGAGAAGGTGCAACATGAAATAGATATTTTTTCAGTATTTCCAACTGTTTAATTTGACTGAAGTTTTACGAACAGTAGCTTAAAATCCATTGAGCCCATGAATCTACTTAATAGGAACAGTTGTAAATCGATGCATGTATATTCAATTATTTGGCATATAAAGTCCTATATTAGTTGTTGTTGTATACTACTGATCGGACTTTATAAAAGTTAATATAAGCTTCTGTTGCCAATATATTAATGTAGCAAAGAGTTTGAACATGTAAATGAAAAAGCCATTAGATTGAAAAAATGTAAATAGTCGTATCGTAAGGCAAGCAAGCATAGTAATTTAAACAGTTTATTATTTGTAATCGCAGTAGCAGCTTTGTAGACATGTAAGAGAGTCAGGCAAAAGTAGTTTGTATATTTTCATTCCTAGTATAACTACAAGTTGCCAAGATATCACATAATATTTCATATATTTTCTAAAAAACAAAACAAAAACTGAAAAAAAAGTTTACAGATATTTTCCAACGTATTACAACTTGAATGTTTGGTTTTGCTTTTTGGCAGACAACTGGGCCTGATTGACACGTTGTATGTGGAGGGCGGCCGACCAGATCCAGCTAACGATTTGGACGGATTACAAAACGAAGCAGACATCAGCATCAACGGTGCATCCGAAGTAGCCACAGTTCCCGTCAAGACAAAGAAGTCACGCAAATCCAAACAGTTGGCCATGCAGCCCTTCAGCTATGTGATTGCCGTAGACTTTGAGGCCACGTGCTGGGAGAAACAGGCACCGCCGCAGTGGCGGGAAGCGGAGATCATAGGTAAGAATTGATAACAGATGATACCCCAGTCCGATCACCATCAATAACCTTTTCGACTTGCAGAGTTTCCAGCCGTGCTGGTCAATCTAAAAACGGGCAAAATCGAAGCCGAGTTTCACAAGTATATTATGCCCATTGAGTCGCCACGGTTGAGCACCTACTGCACGGAGTTAACGGGCATAGAACAGAAGACTGTGGACACTGGAGTGCCGTTGCAAACGGCGCTGATGATGTTCCACGAATGGCTGCGCAAGGAGCTGCGGGCCCGCAGTCTGTTGCTACCCAAGACGAGCAAATCAAATATACTGGGCAACTGTGCATTCGTCACATGGACCGACTGGGACTTTGGCATCTGTCTGCACAAGGAGTGCACACGCAAGCGCATGCGCAAGGCTCCCTATTTTAATCAGTGGATCGATGTGCGTGCCGTTTATCGCGAGTGGTATAAATATCGGCCCTGCAACTTCAGCGATGCCCTCTCACATGTGGGCCTAGCCTTTGAGGGACGCGCACATTCCGGCATCGATGATGCCAAGAATCTAGGCGCTCTTATGTGCAAAATGGTGCGAGATGGTGCGCTCTTCTCAATCACCAAGGATCTGACGCCATATCAACAGCTGAATCCCAATTGTGTATTGTGAGCCAGCGACCGAGAGAACTCCCTCCAAGATATCTAACGAGAAAAAATGCACTTAGTTACTGACTTTTAATAAATAATTAATATTACGAAGCTGGCGATGATAGATCGACAGTTCTTAATGTGAGAACAGCCTGAAAATAATGTGTGGGAAATTTGATGAGTTCTTCACTTCTTTTTCTGTAACGGCAATTGATAAGACTTGAAATTCGACGAATTGTTTCAATACTGCTGCAAAACCCCCGAGGAATGCAGTATGGATATACACGTACATATATATAAGATATGGCCTTAGAGCATATTTTTCTACTATTTATATTTAATAATGCATAGTTATAGTCTATACTGCGTATATGGAATGTCATACTTATGTTTACGACTTACACGGCCTACCATTTAGCTTTAAGGTCATAACTAATAAAACGACAATAGATACATATATTCAAATCATAGAATTCCCAACTTGTTTAACTCAATTATGCTTTTGCTATCTACTTTCCAGAACGCATTATGGATCCGAGAATATATAGTCGCAGCTCTGAGCTGACCTGAATAGTCTGGTGTCTTGCTCTAAATGGTTTCACCAGACTCCAAGGATCTTTGGAACGCACCTATAGCCATGCCCATTTTTTTTTTGCCTTTTCATCACTGTTTATTTTTTAGGTTACACTCAGTTTAAGTGACTTTTAAGGTCTCGCTTTGACAGCCAGCTGGATAACCGCCTTGTCGCCAGTGCACATCCAGTTGGGATCATCCTCCGTTAACCACTCGACCACGCAAATGGGCAAACCGCAATAAAGATCAGACTTAATAGTGCGAAGCGCACAGATGCTAGTGGGCATAAAGCCACTCAGACATTCGCCAAATGGAGTTGTGGAACTCCAGTTGACATCGTCCAGCAGCTTACGATAGTTAAGATCCCCCTTGAATATGGTCAAGGCGCCTAGACTGAGCTGAACATACAGACAGGGCGCCATTTCGCGCATGGACTTGAAACACTGCGGCTCTGTCCAGAAGCTGCTGACGTTGCACAGCTCCATGGACTTATTCCGCATAAATCGACGTAGTTTTCGCCCAAAGGCGGCACACACTGATATCTCGTGCCGCAGAAAGAATTGCAGCATCCAGTGAAAGTCGTTGGCAGTGACATCCGAGACGAACCAAGGGATAGCCTTCACATGATAGCGGACCTTTACCGCCAGCCGTGCGTCAATCAAATACTCGCCCAGCAGCAAATCCGCAAAGAGCTCGAAGCCCGCGTTGTCCAAGACAATGTCTACAGTGACGGGACATACGGATGTATGGATGCCCTCGGTCAGCAAGAGCCACACATCTTCGGACTGATCCGCGATCAAGTGCTTGTCGAAACCAACTATTTGCTCCACGATGCGTTCATCCGGACTGTCGGTTCTGATTGAAAGATCACACCGATTTGCCCACAACGATAGCTTCAGCATCAGCAGAAAGTTCCTCCGACTGCGCCGAAGACCCCGTGTCCCCTTCAATACATTATGCAGCAGGAAAACATTATTGCGCGTGGCGCAGATTTTCTTTGGACTAAAATAGTCGTAGCTGCGGAGCGTGTCTGCGCGCCGGAATGCAGCCCATATGCGACGATACAGGTAGCACTCGGCGTCCATCCAATTGGAGGAGAACCATTGGTTTTTCTCGCTATTTTCTAGCTTTTTCAGAAAGATATTCCACTCGCTGGCACCTGGATCTTTGTCGATGAAATGCTTGAATTCGCTGTTCTTCAGTACCTCCGTGCGCAATATGTCCAGGCTCCAGATGACCCGCCGCAGATCGTAGCGCGCATAATCGCCGCACTGTTCCATGATCCTGGCTTCGTTCTCGCGCATGCAGTTTATCAGCTCGTTGAGCATTTGGGGCACACGCTTCTTGAATGTTCTGTAGGCGAAGCTGTGCTTGTACCTGGCAGAAAGCGGTTCCCGCAATGGCGGAGCAATGTCGAAGATGTTATGTTTTTCATCGAACTCCTCCTCATGACTGGATAATGTCTCCTCGCTGTGCACTGTTGACTCATAGGACTCGTCCTCGGATTGGCTGCCATGTTCGGTATTTGCCTCAGTGTCCGACATGATGTTAATCAACTTTCCGGCATATATTTTCTCTCACTTTACAATTTTGACATCATTCGCTTCCCAAAGTTGTGAGTGCTCTAAAAATATTATCGCATTTCGAATAAATTCTGGTATTGATTCAAGGCGAAGTATACATACATGTAAATACTGCACGGGGAAGTTTTTCCCATTCTATATAAACAATTCGACACCGCGCTTTACAAAGTTAATAATTAATAATTTATCACTTAACTTTGTTTAGGTTGAAATTTCTTATTAGGCACTTGGGTTAATTAATGTTGAGTCATAATAGGTTGCCATAGTGTGCATCTGGTAATTTTGTTGCTTAAGCAGAAATTTATAATGATATGATAATGACAATATGAATCAAATATATATTATATAATCTAATTTTCTCTCATTTTTAAGCTTTAACTGGCGGCTTCACACACGGTGCTTTAGGACCTATTAATAACTAACTATTAAGCCTAACTGATTCCCAACCTTGCTCGGTCCAAACTTTAAATTCCACTATAAGGCGTCAATTTTTCACCCATTTACATATTTATATATTTTACATAGATATTTAAAATGAGTTGGGAGTCAATCATTTTTGTTCCAAGTTTGAATACGATTGGATTCTAAATTTGAAGATTTACAAAGATCATTGAAAATAAGTTTGTAACCCGTTGACAATTTTTTTGAAATCACCGAAACAATTGTTTATTTAGTATATGAAAGGAGTTTGAAAATAAATTTAAAACCGATCGTGGGAACAAGAAACGTAACAATTATTATTAACATGTTTAAAATGATAATGTATAAGTAAAGGCAACGGGTGGTATTATGTTAAGTTAGTTTGAATTACTTGTAGCAGGTGACAATTATATTTTTTGTAGCCAGCGAGGCAAATTGACAGAATTTCAACAGTGCGTAACAAAGAGGATGTCCAAATCGTCATTCTTCTACAAACGTTTGATGGAAGCACTGATATTCGTAAATCTCGTCGGTAAATAAAATGTGCAGCAAACTTAAGACATAATATTTCAAAATATTAGTGCTATATTTGAACAGTGAAAATATGATTTAACAATTTAGCTATTCCTAAAATTGCAACATTTGAGCTATAGTATTGTATCAGGGTAATTTGCATGGCACTTTACTTGCTGGCAAACTGAATTGTTCCATATTCGCCTGTAAGCATCCATTCCTTGCTCTTGGCAAAGAGTTGCTCTGATATGCCAGCCGGGAGTCCACAAACCAAGTCCGCTTTGATAGTGCGCAGCGAGCAAAGGTTTGAGGGTTTGAAACCTACGTAAGGATAGGTGATATTTCTGTGAGTATAATATGTCGGACAACTACACAATATAACTTACCGCGCAGGCAGATGTCGAATGATTCAGTGTGGTTCCAACTAAAGTCGCCCAGTAGCTTGCGATAGTTAAGATCGCCCTTGAAGATTACCAACTGTGCCTGCGAGAGGCGCTCATATAGCGCCGGTTTCACTTCTGCCATGCGATAGAACTCATATGGACTGGTCCAGAAATGCTCGAGTGGAGCCAACTCGAATTTTCCCTCGTCGGTGAAGCGTTTTAGCTTCTTTCCCAGCTCGCTGAGCACAGGCTGCGTGTGGTCGATCAAAAACTGTAGCGTCCAGTAGTAATCTGCGGCCATGACATCCGATATGAACCAGGGAATTGCTTTGGCATTGAAGCGCACCTTTCGCGCTAGTCCCTTATCGATGATATACTCAGCCAGTATAAGATCTGTGTAAAGCTCATAGCCCGCGTTATCGAATACAAATTCCACAATGCCGTTGCCGTCGGAGCCATCCAGTGACTTCCATATGGCGGCAGTGCCATCCACTAACAAATTAGCATCCAGATGGGCTACTTGATCGAAGGCATCGCCCATCGGTTTCACCTGCTTGCCCGACGTAATCGACAGATCACAGCGATTGCCCCACAAATTGAGCTTCAACAGTTGCTGAAAAGTGATCAAATTGCGGTCGTTCTTTCGGGTGCCATTCGCCACTGCCAGCATGGCTTCCACGCTGAGCTGTGCGGCCGTTTGCTTCTGCTTGCGGAAGTAATCAAAACCGGACAGGCGCGACGATATGAATATGGACCATATTTGGCGATACATAAAGCACTCGGCGTACAGCCAGCAGCTGGCGAAGTAGGTGCGCTTCTCCTTTGGCAATTGATCCAAGAATGCATTCCAAAATCCAGCGTCGATCTCTAAATATACGATTTTTTATCAAGCATTATCTATATATCTCTTTTTATATCCAAACAATAAATGGCAAAATATATCAATGGTTTAATAGGATCTATCAGAATAGTTTCAATTATTTTTTAACTATGAATGAATTTACTTTAATAAGCAAACAAATTAAATCTTTTATAGTTAAGAAAGAATTGAAGCTATTCTAATGGAATAAAATATATATTATATTCTAAAGGAATAAATAATTATTGATAATAATAATAATTATAACAATAACAATAATATAATAATATAAAATAATAATAATAATTATAACAATAATATGTCAGTTTGGCTTTTTCTTTAATGAAAAGCTCTATAATTCTATTTTCGAAAATAATTCTAAGTGGTATTAGAAATTCTAAGTGATAAAAATAGATTCTAGAAGATCTGATCGCGCCAATTTTTTAACGACTGGAAATTAAAATAAACCTATTAATTTTGGATTTAATGTTCTACTCATAAGTAAATGCCAGGTATCTAGCTTCCTTACGCTCCGCTATATATATACATACCTTTGTCATTAAACGGCTGTAACGGTCCGTTTTTCAAAATATTTGAACGCAGCTCCAGAATGGCTGCAGCTGTTTGATCAATATCTGAGGCTGCGTCCTAAAAAGTAACATTGATTGATTGCAACGAACAGCGCACTGAATTATGCAATATTACAACTTACCGCTCCATATATTGACAGCAGCTCGTCCTTATCCTTGGCCAGGGACTTGGCAATTGTGTCCAGCGTTGAAGGTAAGCGCACGCGAAAAGTGTAATATGCAAAGCTCCTAGAGAGGGGGTCACGTTAGAGGTCAGGCAATCAAATTACATCAGTGGTTCGCTCCATATATATGAGCGTATTCATATGCGTGGGGGGAAATTCCGATATGCTATATATAGCGAATACTACTTACTGCTTATATAGGGCTGCTAGCTGCGTGTGTGGAGGCGCCTCGCTATCAATAATTCCATTTGCAGCATCAAAATCCGCATCGTTTTGTACTAAGGTCATATTGTCTTTTGCTTGCTGCGCGGGGTATTTAATCAGCTGTAAATCGTTTGTTGTATCACTTGCTGCCCAGTAACTGTTACAATACACAATCTATCTCTATTTGTCTTGGCGCCTTCAATGTCGACAGCAGAAATGCATGTTACTACGGAACTGATTCGCAGTGGTGGGACACGGTCGATAATTTTTTATCGACTACATATTAAGCTTCGGAAATGATCGGATAAAATAAACAATTAGAGAAACCGTTGCAACTAATATTTCGGAAACTATCGTAACTGCCACAATCGCTGTGTCGCACATTTCGACAAGCAGATGATGATGATCATAAGCTATAAACGGATATATGTATATATCTATTATTTATATGTGTTGTAAGAATTATTATACAGACAACACTATTAATAGTTTTGCTTCTATTAAGATTTCTCCAAAAATTTATGCTTCGATATATACACAGTTCTATATAATTATGCTTGTTCAATTAGATTATATACTACACATTTACATCTACGTCAAACACAATACCTTACAAATTTAAAATCAAAACCAACTATTTTTAAATTAATTAATTTGCAGGGTCAATTGCCAGATTCCAAATATCCCCTTTTATGCCATCGATAGTTTCCTACCAATCTCTACCCAATCTCCCTATCGATAATTCCATCGTTCGTTTTACTGCACTTTTATAAGAGCTAGACAACGAATAGTATTTACTCTCGTACAGTATACACAAATAAAGAACAACTTTTCGGATGCCTCCCGTTCTACAGAAAATTATTAAAATCTCTTTTTTGGGGTAAAGCTTTTGACTTTGGTGTGTGCATACATTCTTCTACCATATTTAGGCCATAAATAAAGACCCTACAAAAAAACCGGCGAACCTAATGGAGACACTGTATCAAAAGGGTGCATGTGTGTGTATGTTTTTGTTTAGTATCAACTTTAATAAAATCCAAATAGATTAACAATGACTACTGTAAAACTGTAAGACTGATATTATATGTATTTGGATTGACTTCGAAACTAATAAGATACAGAGCTTAATCTATTAATAGCCGAATTCCCGCGCGCCATCCACATACTGAATTGTGCCATAATTTCCAGTGAGCATCCAGTTAGGGTCTCTCAATTTCAGATTTTCAACGACGCCTTCTGAAAGACCGCAGATTACCTCTGCCTTGATTGTGCGCACAGTGCAGAAGCTGCTAGGTATGAATCCGCCCAAGCACGTTCTCGTATCCTGTGTAGGCTCCCAGCGAACGTCGCTTAACAGCTTCCGATAGTTCAAGTCGCCTTTAAATATAATCAGCTTTGACTGCTGCAGCGTTTTGTATAACTCTGGTTCAAGGGTGTTCATGCTGCAAAGGTACATTTTTTAAATTGTTGTGCGATTTCGAGAACGATGTGGACTTACCAATTAAAAGCATGTGGCCCGGTCCAGAAATAAGACACGGGCGCCAATTCGAATTTACCCTCGTCCATGAATTGCAAAAACTTGTTGCCAATCAGACTAATTATATAGTCAGAGTGTTTGCTCAGATATTGCAGCATCATTTGAAAATCACGCTGTGTGATGTTGGCAACAAACCAAGGACACGCCTTGACATGAAACCGTACCTTGGAAGCGAGTCCCTTTTCGATTATATACTCGGCAAGAATGAAGTCTGTAAACAGCTCATAACCAGCATTGTCAAGCACAAAATCTACATGCTGTTTGTTTGTCTTTTTGTTTGACAAGCAGTCCCATATTTCGGAAGCATTGTTGGCGAGAATATGACTATCCGTAGCACTCACATCCTCCAGTACCTTCATATTAAACATTCGTGCATGTTCGTTCTCCGA